AGGGTCAGGTTTTATTTTGCCCTCGATGACCTTGGTGTCTCAGTTTTTCCGAGCCAGGCGTTTGCCGGGCTCCCGGCCCCATGGGGTCCTCTCACAGATCGATGCAGCTCGACAGTACTGCCACTTTTTCGAGCCAGACGCTTTCTCGCCTGGCCTCGGCCTCTGGGTCCTCGCAGATCGGCCCAGCTCGAGACATTGGGCCGACAGGTGGGGTCCTGGGCTCGGTTTTGCACGAGGTTGCATCGTGGTTGCACCGTCGGATCGCAGATTCGATCCGGAATTGATGCGGTTCGGGATCCATCCGGACTGGCCCGGTCCCGGGCGACTCCGACGTGCCCAGGTCTCCGAGGGTAGTCTGGGCGTTTTTTCTCGATCTTGGCCCCGAGGGGGGCCGCCATCGCGCCCCGTGGCCATCGAGGGCGTGTCCTGGGCGAAGAGCGACCCCCGGGGAAGCGGACGGAGCCTCTGCAGGCCTCGGGCTGAACGAGAACAGGCCGGCGGAGGTTCCGATGATCCGGTGCGGCCCGGTGTTCGCGGGGCGTTGCTGTGCCAATCGGCGCGGCACAGCGCGGCCGACTTTCAGAGGAGGAGGAGGAGGAGGTACCCATGCACGGAAACTCTCGCTCGTCTTGGGTTTAATGCGTATCGGCGGCTGGCGCCCGATCCCGTTCGATGGCGCTCAATATCACCAACAGCGCCCAGCAGCGCCGACAAGCCCTCCAACAGCGCCCTGTGGCGCCCAATTCCGCCGTGTGAAGGAGATGCTGTATTTCCGCCGTGCGCGGGATGGGCCGCGCTGTGGGGCGCCGTTGGGACGACCGCAGGCTTCCGTGAGCTGCTCTCTGACATCCGGTTCGGCTTCCGTGCCGATGCGGCCCGAGTCGGCGCACGCTGCGATTCGATCCGGTCTCGTGGCTCGGTGTGGGCTGCTCCTGGGCCGGAGGAGGGCGGCCTCGGCAAGGACAAGGGGGGGGGGGCGAGGAGGGGGGTAGGGTCAAAGTCGCGGAGAACGACGGCGAGGGAGAAGAGGAGGCTGGCAGGAAGAAGAAAGGAGGAGGGAGAAGAGGAGGAGGGATAGGAGGGATAGGAGGGGGAGGAGGAGGAGGAGGAGGAGGAGGAGGAGGAGGAGGAGGAGGAGGAGGAGGAGGAGGAGAGAGGGAGTCAGACGGAGGAGGAGGAGGAGGAGGAAGAGGAGGAGGAGGAGAAGGAGGAGGAGGGGAGGCCGGCGCAGGAGGAGGATGAGCAGAAGGAGGAGGAGGGGAGTCAGGCGGATGAGGAGGAGGAGGAGGTTTGTGGCCTCCCCTCCTCTCTCTCCCCCCTCCTTCGGAACGGTCTCTCTGTGGCGTCGGGGGCCCCCGCCCACGAGCCGGCCTGGGCTCCGCGCACGGGCCCCGCGCGGGAGCAGTGGGCAGCTGGTGACGGCCGACAGAGGCGGATGTCAGGAGGAGCAGGCGGCAGCACCAGGAGGAGGAGGTGAGCAACGTTCTGTGAGGAGGACAAGGACCAGAAGGAACAAGAGGAGGACGAGGAGGAGGACGGGACGGGGTTGGAGGAAGGGCGGGGGGAGAGAGGGAGGGAGGGAGGGAGGGAGGGAGGGAGGGAGGGAGGGAGGGAGAGAGAGAGAGAGAGAGAGCACCATGCACGTCGAAGGTGCGTTTGCAATCATGCACAGCAGGGGAGTTGGAGTCACACTGCTCCCTGCCAGAAGACAACGTGCGCCGCATTAACGCCAAGACCCCCTACCGTCATTGATGCAAGGTGCTTGCGTCGCCGGCTGCCCTGCAAGCCATGTCAAACACGTTCGGCTTCCACGCGTGCTTCGGCCGTCCGCGTTTCTGGCGACTTCCCAGGCAGGACAGCGAGAATGACCCAGGGGCGAACATGCAGCGTCGGACAGCACTGCCGTCTGGCAGCTGGGTGTGCGAATTGGCTGTTCAAAATGTGACAGCTGCATTGGGCAAAGACAGCAGCATCATTCAAAACGCGGGTTTCGAACGAATATGATATGTCGGCCATTTGGCGGAGGCAGCGCGCTTGGGAAGCATGCGGTTTACGAAGTTATGCTTTGTTGAGCCACAGAGTGCACAGGCAAAACACCAGGCCACATACTAGAACGCAAGACTAAAACATTCCGGACTTTCTTGAACAGTGAGAGTTTCGCATGCTTTCAGATTTCGTGCAAATTATGGGATTGCTTGTGTGTGAGGCCCAGTATTATTCTCAGTTCAGGGCCGCTGTCGCCGTCGGCGTTCAATCACACACTTAGATAGTGTTACTCTCAGCGGAATTGCTGACCAGTCTGGTCGGGCCATGTGCGTCTCGCACCCCACAGACGACACCTCGAGCTTGCCTCAATTGAACTTCAACCCAGGAGGTGGGCGAGGAAGAGCGGAGGAGGTGGACGAGGAGAAGAAAGAGGCGGGGTTGGAGGAAGTGCGGGGGATAAGACGAAACGTGATGATGGGCACGAGGAGAGTGAGAAGGAGGAGGAGGGCAGGGTGGATAATGCTGACTTTCTGCCGTTTCGGAGGGAGGGGGGGTTCTATTGCGTGTTCGAAGGCTTCGGGGGATCTTTCGTCTCTCCCTCTCCCTCCTCCCTCCCTCCCTTCTTCGCTTCTTGGTCCTCCGTCTCTGGGAGCTGAGGTGTGGAGTCTGAGAGTGCAGGGGAAACTCGCTGGCCTCCCCCTCCTCTCGCCTGTCCGGTCTCCCCGCTCGTCTCTGATCCCTCCTGCTCCGCCTCCTCCTCCCAACTCTAAGGAGGTAAAGAGAAACAGACACAAATAGTGATCGTCGATTCCGATGAAAAATTGAACCATATGGGAATTAGAAGGGAAGACGGGAGAACCCAGAGCATACGGAACAATCCGGGTAGGCTTGAGACTTGTGTCTGTTTATTTGTGTGTCCCTGGGCCCCTTCGCATTTCTGCTCTTGGAGGTCGAGGGGGACTAGAATTGGCTCCCTCCGAGCGGTGATCACCAATGGACGAAAGTGATGAGGCAGATGCCCGAAGGCGCAGGCATAAATATTGAGAGACTGGCCATCGTGGACAGAGAGCGCCGAACGAGGTTCAGCAGGAGGAGGAGATGGGGGAGGAGTCTAAGTCAGTGATTCAGAAGGCGCTCAGATGGATAGAGAAGTCAAGTACTCGGCCGCGTGTTCGACATGATAACGTGCTTCCCTGCGTCGTATTGCTTTCGTTGTCGGACGCCGTTTCGACTTGCTGATCCTGGGCGAGTCTACGCTACGTCCAGCGCGTTTGCACCTTCTGCGTGTCTCGTTCAAGGCTTGCCAGCGCTGCGTACAGTAAGAGGTTGGCCCAAGACGTCAGGGAACATGCATCGGGACGAATGAATTGGGTACGGAAGGAATGGGTGCGAAGACCGACAGCATCTCTTGTTCATTTTGCATAGGGCTCGCTGTCAGCGTCGCCGCGGACGTTGACAATTTGAGACGGAACGCCGCTTACCCAACACCGGTCGCTGTCGGTTATGAACAACATTATTCGTTGGGCATCGTGCCCATGCTGTCCGTACTTCAGATTTCGTAATAAAGGGAGGGTGGTCTCATTTCAGGGGGGTCTCTTCCAGGCTATCTTGGAGGGCCTGGGGGCGTCTGGGGACGATGTTTTGCAGGGTTCTCCCACGGGGGAGGTCTGAAATGGCCTGTCTTGGAGGGTCCAGACCCCCTCCCTTTTATTGCGAAATCTTGAGTACCCCTCTCAGGCGTCCAGAATGTGAATGGCAGTCCGCAGCACTGCGTCTGCAGGCCCGCTGCGCAGACCCCCGGGCCGACCTCCACCGGTCGCGCAACGCCTCGTGCCTCGGCTCGCGGCGCCGAGGGGGGCAGGCAGAGGGGGGCGGGCCTTCGCAGGAGGGTCAGGAGTTTTTTTTTTTTATTTATAAAAAAAGGCCAGTTTACTTGCATAGTGTTCGCCCCCGCCCCCCCCTCGCCCCTCTTCGAGCGAATACTAGCGTGCAAGCGCCTTTAGACTCGCGTGATTTCCGCGCCCCCCCGAACGTGCAAGTCGTTTGCGGCTTGCTTCAGGCTCAGCCCCCCCCCCCGTCCATGCAAGTAAACTTGCCAGAGTCTAAAAAAAAACAGGCTCCAGAAGGCCTCTGGCCTTCCGAGAAGCGTTCTACTCTGTGTCCCTCAGTCGTTCTGGTGGTCCGAGTCCGAGGGACGGGTACCTGTAGTCCGTCCGGGAGGGGGGGGTACCAGTAGTCCGGGGTTTGGGGTACTCGTAGTCCGGGGGAAGGGTACCTGTTGTCCGGGGGGGGAGGAGCCTGCAGTCTGGGGGGGAGCGCGTGTTCACGCGTCAACGCACGCGTGAATGTAGTTCTGTGGGGGTACCTGTAGTCCAGGGGGGTACCTGTAGTCCGGGGTGGGGTACCTGTAGTTGGGGGGGGGTACCTGTAGTCTGGGAGAGGGGTACCTGTAGTTCGGGGAGGGGGTACCTGTAGTCTGGGGTGGTACCTGTAGTCCGGGGACCCAGAACTATTGAGGGACACCGAGTAAGCCTTCTCCGAAGCCCTGCCGCCTCCCGAGAAGCGCTGCCCCCTCTGACTTCCCCACCTACGCGCGCCGCCGACCTGCGCCCCACTTGCCCCCGAGAGCGGCACCGCGGTGTTGACCACTCTGCCCGCCGCCTCCCGAGGCGCCGTCGAAGCCTCCTCTGGAGCCACAGCTTCTGAGAGGCCCCCCCGTCCTTTGAGAAGGCCCGCCCCCGCCCCCCCCCCCTCTCACTTCCCCCCTCGGCGCGCCGCCGAGTGGCCCGCTTCGCCAGGCGCAGATGGTCCGAGAGGAGGAGTTGGCGTAGCCTTGAACTTTCGGAGCCCCGCGCGGATCTCTTGGGTCGGCGCCCGGGCCCCCCTGGCTGCGCCTCGGGCGCCGCCCCCGACGCGCTCCGTTCGCCGTGGACGGGGTCGGTGCGGGGACGGGGGGACGGGGGTGTGGCGCGCGCGCAAGAGAGAGAGAGAGAGAGAGAGCTCGGCGGCGGCAGGATGCGTTCTTCCTCCTCCGACGCCACGGCCGAGCACAGGAAGACGTGCGTGCCAGTCCTCCACCCGGAGCTCAGGGGCAACGTTGGAGGGGGATGGGCTCCGGGGGCACAGGCCCACTGGGCAACGGGGAGGTGTTCAAACATGTGCGTGGGCTCTCGGCGGTTTCCCAGCCTCGGGGTGCCTTCTCGCAGCTGCGCCTCGCCGAGGGCGTTCCATAGGGGTGCCAGGATCGCTCCGAGCGGCCACCGGAGACCCCGAGCTACGGCCCGAAAACCACAGGGCCACTCCCTAGCGGCAACGTCAGGGGGTGATAGGCTCAGGGGGGGGGATGCATCGGCCCCCAATCGCCTATGGATCGCCGAAGTGGGCCCGATTGCCAACTTAGCCAACCCCGCACAGGAACGCTCGGATTTGCCATCCGGTGCCCATCGCCAGTCTATCGGCGAGGTATCGCCGATTCAAGCTCGATGTTTCCCCTACTGAGCCAGTCAGCCCCTATCGCTGACCCCCAGGAGCATCCCAGACTGTTGATGTGGAATTTTGTTGGTGTCGTGTTCTTGGTGTACATCGTGTTCATGCTCCCTTACGAGCTGTCCTTCGGGGCCTGTGAGAGCCGGGCGTTCTTCGTTGTGGCTTCCATCGTGGACGTGTATTATATTCTCGACATGGTCGCCTCGTTCCTAACGGGATACGAGGACGATGAGACCAAAGAGATCGTCATGGACCCCTGTAGGATTGCGAGCAGATACTTGAGGTGTTGGTTCTATCTAGATTTTCTGGCCGCCATACCGTGGGACTGGATGGACTCGTCGCGCATGCCCTACTTGCAGTCGTCCAAGGCGCGGCCAGCCCCCCCCCCTCTGCGTGGTATCTGCTCCCTCCGCTGCACGTCCTCCTCCTCCTCCTCCCCCTCCTCCTTTGCTCTCTCCTCCTCATCGCCCCCCTCGGCATCCTCCTGCCAGATCTCCTCCTTGATGTCCTCCTCCTTCCGCCCCCCCTCTTCGTGCTCGTTCTTCTCATCCCTCGCTTTCCCAGAACCGCCGCCCAAGGCATGCCGAGTCGACGACACGTGGCATCCGACATACGGATGGCCGCGCACCGGCCCGATCGGTCACGCACCGCGGCGGCTCCGCAGACCCGCGGCAGCAGCGGGCCCGCAGCAGTGCCCGGTAGCCCGAGGCGTACCAGGCGAAAAAACAGCGCGACGAGGGCCGAGGCGGCGGACACACGTTCGCGAAGCGTCGACCGACTCCCGTCCGAGCAAGTGGCGGGCGTGCGGACAGGAGGGGGAACGTTCCCCTCAGCACTTTGACTGTGAGGGTTTCCCCCAGGCATCCACCGATCTGATTCTTCCATTTCCTGGGCGTGGGTTTTCTCGTCTCGGATCCACTTGTGATGGCTTCCTGGCTCGAAAGCGGGTCCCAGAGGCCGAATTCCATCCTCGCATCCATGGGTCGGTTCCATGCTCCTGACGCCCGGTGGGGGGGCCCCGTCCCCTGACGTCAGTACAGTAGCCCATAGCGTGGTCCCCCATTGTGGCCCCCTCTCCAGCTTGGCCCCCCAGCGTGTACAGTCGAGTCTGATCAAGTAGTTCGACCCTGCCAAGTCAAGGGCACCCTGGTGTCCTGCGTTTCGCGACCCGTGCCTCCTGCATTCCTGTGGCAGTGTGGCCCTCGGAAGAGCATGTGTCATTTCGCGTGTCCTCTCTAATCAGCCCCGACTGCTCCTCCTCCTCCTCCTCCTCCTGCTTCTCCTCCTCGCTCCTCGCTCCTCCTCCTCCTCCTCCTCCTCCTTCTCCTCCTCCTCCTCCTTCTCCTCCTCCTCACTCTCCTGCTCCTCGCTCCTCGCTCCTCCTCCTCCTTCCTCCTCCTCCTTTTACGTTAGGCCAACCTGAGCGTGAAGCTGTGGCGTTCCTTCTCCTCCTCCTCCTCCTCATCCTCCTCCTCCTCTTCCTCCTTCCCCTCCCCCCTCATCCTCCCTCCTCCTCCCCCTCCTCCTCCTCCTCCTCCTCCCCTCCTCCTCCTCCTCCTCCTCCTCCTCCTCGTCCTCCTCTAGCTGTGCAAAGCTGACTGGGGCCTTTCTGCCGCAGCGGTGCCGCCTCCGTCCCCCCGGGGCGCGCCGCGGGGCCACGGACGGGGCGCGCACAGGCGGCAGGCCCGTGCCGCGTGCGGCGCCGGGCGGCCGGTGGGCGGCAGCACGGCCAGAGGGCAGCGGGGCACCCTCGGGACCTGGCCTCGCTCGGGCGCGAGTGCTGCGCCTCGGGAGAGAAAACACACACGCACAGACACAATCAAGGGCCGGCTCCCAGGAACATGTGGGAAGATGTGGGAAGTGGGGGGGGACGACGAGCACGGAGAAGATGTGGAAAACTACAGGGAATCCTGGGATTTGTCTGCATTTGTTCTCTTGCACAGATGTGCTCTAAGGAGCTCGGACCACTTTATTTTCGTTCGTCGTCGCCCCCCCCCCCCCCCCTTGGAACCGCCCCTCCGTCCAGGCTTCCCAGGGCAGCCCCCCTGGGCCGCCGAATCCTTTATTCTCTTGCACAGCCGTGCTCTAGAGCTCGGACATCTTTATTTTCGTCGTGGTTCGTGGTTCGTGGTTCGTGGTGGTTCGTCCCCCTCGGCCCCGCCCCTGAGCCTGAGACCCAGCTCCCCTGGACCACCCACCCTTCGGAGGCTTGCTCCGTCAAGGCTTCCCAGGACAGCCCCCCTGGGCCGCGGACATCCTTATTTTCGCCACCCACCCTTGGGACCCCCCCTCCGTCCAGGCTTCCCAAGGCAGCCCCCTGGGCCGCGGAACCCTTTACTTTCGTCGTGGTTCGTGGCTCGTGGTGGTTCGTCCCCCTCGCCCCCCCCCCTGAGCCTGAGCCCCAGCTCCCCTGAGCCACCCACCCTGGAGAGCCTTCCTCCGTCCAGCCTTCCTCCGTCCAGCCGTCCCAGTCCTTCCTAGCTCCTTTGTGCAGGAGCCAGGGCACGCGTGCCACTTGTCTGTGAGTCCTTGGGCCCCTCGATGTTCCTCGGGAGGAGCCATCGATGAGCCTCAGGGGCCATCCTGCGAAACAAAATGCGCGCACAAGTCCGAAGCATGCACGGGGAGTGGACGTCGGAGCGGTGGCGAGCCTTGGGTGAGCCGACGGCCGCCGCTGCCTCACGCGCCGCGCCAAGGGCGGACCCTGCGCGCGGCGGCCGCTGCTGACTGCAGCAAGAGTCCAGGCCTCCGAGATGGGGTCGAAGTAGGTGGGGTCGAAGGACCGTGCCGCATTGCCGATGCATCGGCGATGCAGCTTGACGGGGGGCCCGATCTTCGCCGCGCCGATGGCGCCGGTGCATCGCCGACGGCGACCATACGTCGCCAATGCATCGGCGATGCGGCGGGATCCACCGACCCCGTCTGCTCGGACAGGGCCTCCGAAGAGCCTCATCCGCGATCCATCGGTGCAACGATACGAGACCGGAGGCAGCTGGAGCGAGTGACTTCTGCAAGAGCCCACCCGCCCTGTACAGGAACGATGTCGTCTGTGAAGCTTTGCGGTGCCACCCGGTGCGCGCCCCTCTTTTCGAGAGGACTGGGTGCCGACGTCGCGATCTTCCAGCGCACAGGCCGAGCTCGGACGATCCGTTGTGCACGAGCCTCGGCGAAGATTTGCGCATCTCGTGGCGCAGAATCGTGGACCCTCGGGGGCCTCGCCGTAAGGGGGTCCCTGCGCGGCGCGAGCCACCACCTCGCAAGGAGGAGAGAGAGCACGACGCCCCCATCGCGGACGGCGCTGGCAACCAGCATGGCGTCCCCGTCGAACGCGCCTCTCGGAACTCGAGGCCCAACTCCTTCACGGGGCGGCGGGTGCAGAAGAAGGTGACGTTGGCGATGGCGGCGTCCCGCAGACCCGCGGTGCTTTTCGCGGTGAGCCGCGCGCGCTGACGCAGTGCTAAGTCCAGCAAGGCTAGAGGGCGCTAGGCCCTGATCCCCGCATGGTCTGCCAGCCTCTTCCGGGCCAGGCCAAAAATTCGGGGGTGGACAGAACCCCCAACAGTGACACGTCGATTAGTGGATTGTCCGTTTTCGGTTCTCGAGATGGCGCCGTGGCCGTTATTTTCCAGGCTTGCGCCCGCCAGGTTTGGGCCTCAGGTCGTTTTCACTAAACCACGTTTTACTAAAGGGGGGTCTGTCCATCCCCGAAAAATGCAGGGCCCGCGGCGTCCAGGACAGGCGGAGGCAATCGCGTTCGAGCTGCCTCTCGCGAGCTGCCCCTCCGCAGTGGAGCCTGTCGCCCACGGCCGCCCCGCCGGCCTTGGGCGAACAGCGCCAGAGCTGGGTCAGAACTCCTCCTCCTCCTCCTCCTCCTCCTCCTCTTCCCTCCTCCTCCTCCTCCTCCTCCTCCTCCTCCTCCTCCTCCTCCTCCTCCTCCCTCCGTCCTCCTCCTCTCCCTCCCCCTTCTATTCCTCCTCCTCTCCTCCTCCTCCTCCTCCTCCTCCTCCTCCTCCTCCTCCTCTCCTCCTCCTCCCCCCTCCTCCTCCTCCTCCTCCTCCTCCTCCTCCTCCTCCTCCTCCTCCTCCTCCTCCTATTCCTCCTCCTCCTCCTCCTCCTCCTCCTCCTCCCCCTCCTCCTGTTAGGGGGCCACGTGCCCCTACCCGATTTCTGAGGGGGAGGGCGGGGTTCACTTCGTTCGGGAGCTCCCGAGCGCAGTGAACCCCACCCTTCCGAGGCGGGAATTTATCCATATCCACCGCCTGGAGGGTCAGTTTTCGGAGCCTCGGCAGGCGGTGGATATGGACATATTCGGGCCCCCGGGGCCGAAATATATCCATATCCACTGCCCACTAGGGAGGGCACAAGGACGTCGGTTCCCAGGCGGTGGATATGGATAGCTCCTCGCCTCGCAACCCTCCCCCTCAGAAATCGTGGGGGGTAGGGTTAGGAGTCGCACGTGGCCCCCTGTCCGTTGCGCTCGCAGCACCCCGCAGCATCGGACTGCAGCCCCCGAGGGCGGACTGCTCCCGAGCTGCGGCCGAGCACCCTTTGACTGCGGCGGCCGCTCGCGCCCCGACGCCCTGCTGCTCGAGAGGCTGGCCCGGCGCTCCGGCGAGCAGAGTCAGCTGGGAGTTGCGACACAGGAGGGCGCGGTCGGAGGGTTTCTCCGAACGGGCTTAGGCGGCCCGTCCTCCTCCTCCTCCTCGTCCTCCTTCCTCCTCCCTCCTCCCTCCTCCTCCTCCTCCTCCTCCTCCTCCTCCTCCTCCTCCTCCTCCTCCTCCTCCTCCTCCTCTTCCTCCTCCCCCACCCCCTCCTCCTCCCTCCTCCCTCCTCTTTCTTCTCCTCCACTCCTTCCTCCTCCTCCATCCTTCTCCATCCTCCTCCTCCTCCTCCTCCTCCCTCCTCCTCCTCCTCCTCCATCCTTCCTCCTCCTCCTCCTCCTCCTCCTCCTCCTCCTCCTCCTCCTCCTCCGTCTCCTTCTCCTCCTCCTTCTCCTCCTCCTTCTCCTCCTCCTTCACAATTACACAATATGAATACTACTCTCCCACTTCCCCTGATGGCGTCCGGAAGATGTTCGGCACCCCCCCGCGTACTGTTTTTTTACACACAGGATTCCCCGGAGTTGGGTTTTCGCTTGTGTTTTTTTCTAAAATGCTGCTCTCGCTGAGGCGCTGGCCTAATTTTCGGGCTCCCGCTCCTTCCGAATCGTGTTCCCGCTGCAGCGCTGGCCTCATTTCCGCGCTCCCGCTCGTTCCGAATCGTGCTCCCGCTGCAGCGCTGGCCCAATTTCTGCGCCTCTCGTTGTTCCAAAACGTGCTCCCGCTGCAGCGCCGACGTTTTCGATCCTTTTTAAGAAGCCCCAAATCTA